ACCTATTTAGTCGTAAGTTGTTGTTCAATTAGAGAGTAATTAAATAATCTCGAAATTACCGGTATTTACTGTAGATACATACATATTAGTATAGATAATGTATTAATTACAATTCTTTTACTTTTTTCTCATGTATAATCTCGATGTTAATGAATCGCTTAATTGATTATTTATTTAGTTGGATAATAATAGCTGGTTGTGTTACTTCTGTAGTGTTAATTTTGCGCCAGTCCGAATCTGTCCGGAGAAAAACGAAGCGTCTCGCGGAAAAGTTTTCTCAGATTTTCCGACGCCTCGCCTACTTGGCCGTCGGGCGGAGAAATTTCAATTGTTAATCATTGCCAGTTTATTTTAATTGTAGGATGTTACAATTAAAACGGTGTCGACGTTGCGTTTCGGTTACCATACCTCCCGGGGAATTCGGTCCTCGTTGAATACAGTATTTTCATGCGTTTTAACTAGATTGCACCGCCTTGTAATTAGTGGAAAATGTTTATAATTAGAATTTTCTTTTGTTTACGTTAAACTTCGCTTTGCAGCGCAACAACAAACGCCCCTCCCGTTTCGTTGATTAATTTATTTTTAAATAAACATTGCTCTAAATATAATGAAATATACTTTTGAACTTTATTCATACTATTTCATTTAGTTACCTGGATGAATTTTTTATGTGAATAAAATCCAACATCACCTGTCCTCTATATGTGACGGTGTAAATTCCTAAACAACGTAACAAAAGGCGAAAAAAAGCAGCGAATGCTGGAGAACAATAAAGTGAATATGATGGAAGACCACATTGTCGAATGGTTATAATACCGGGACGACAATGGCGGCCCTCTGCTCGTCTCTTTACGAGTCCCAGCGACTTTTACGGGCGTCTCTGTACACCCCTCGTCCTCCCGTGAGGGTTTCACTTACCTGGGGAGATTCGATGGTCGGGCTTTTTTGGGGCTTATCAAATTAGCGGGGTGTTGCTTCGTATGAAAATTTCATTACTTAACGAAATTATGTCGATGGAAAAGTGATGGTGTGGATGGAACGAGGAGAAATTGCGTATCCGAATAGAGTGTTCTTTGAATAAATATTTAATTTCAAGGGTAACGGTTTTCCCTTCCGATTATCGACCGATGGTAATTTTTCGAAATGAAAAACTGGCGAATATTTAATCAGCACCATATAGATATTGTAGCAGCTGCACAGTTTGGAATAATAAATAAAGAGAAACTTTCAACTGAAGGTATATAAGTGTATATACGGAATATTCTTACTCGAGTTTCCCGTCGAGGGCATTAACGACGAACAAGCCGAAATAAGAAGTGCAACTTCCTTTTTATTTCGGTCGTTGAAGTCGGCGAAAAACTTTTTATAACATCATAATCGTAATCTGCGCTCGTTTAAAGTCGACGCCGACGTCGGATAAGGGCCCCCTTCGGTCGCACACTGGCCCTCCCAACATTTATCACCGCCATATTGAAACACTTTGGCGCGCTCCGGATCGTCTCGCTGCCCCGGAGAGATTTTCCCACCGTTGTCCTGGCGCTGCTCCCGCGCGCCCCCTTTTTATTGTTTTGCTGAGGACTTTTGTCCTTCCAAATTGGGCACGCACATTATCCACTTAACGAACCGCCGAACGCATCCAGCAATCTCGAAAATTACACACACGCCGCGAATTTGCTAAAAATACCTGCTAAATTGCTTACGTAAAAAATATTTTTTGTTCCAGGTGAGTCCCCAATGCTTTTCGTGAATGAATGACAAAAGAAATGGTGAGTCAATTCAACTAAGTATTTTAATTAAAAATCTGGCTAGTGCGGCGGGCTCGGTATCGTTGTAACTTCGCTTATAACAATTCTAATTTATCCTGGGGTACAGAGCCGATAAAGTTGAGCTTAATGTGGTCGCTGTAAATAATTCCCCCGTATACAGCGTGCCACAGAGACCTAATGAAGTTGATACTACCTTAATAGAATTATTCAAGCGGGTCCTGGTGCAACCGACGGTTCGCACAAAGGAGCCTAAATCCTTACTTTATGGACTAATATAAATGCAACATTGTGCGCTCCGGAAATCTGGCCTATACGTCGGATAAACTTCGCTCGGAATCATTTTTAAATCCTCTCTCTTTAAACCGAAAGTTCATCATTTTTATTACTAGTGTTTAATTAAAATTAGGCAGTTGTTAATCGAGCAATTATTAAAGCAAAAACGAAGCGAGCCAACGAAGTTGGAACTTTCCCGCTAACAGAATTTTCCTAACCCTGTGAGAGCGTGCAGTGTGTGTGCATGTGTGTTGTGCATTAGTCGGCAAATGAATTGATTCACTCGGACTCTAAAGCGACTCGCATAAAAGGCCTAAAGTTTGAGCGGACGTTAGGAAGACACTGAAAATACCGCAAACTAATAATTATTATGAACTCCCACCCATTATGCTTTCCAGCCGAGCTCCCGGTTTTTGCCATTAAAATTAAAGCCGTATGTGCTGCTCGAATAGAGAGGTTTTAGTTTGACGACGACAAGTAAATTTTATATTCGCCGGTTTTCGGGCTTCGTTGAAGAGGTCGAATTAAAACCGTAATTTCCCGTTCATTCTTTGTGCTAAAATTACATTTCCACGTTCGAATCGCAGTCGAGTATATCGCGATTTTAATTCACAGCAATCCGAAACGAATAATCCTTTGATTTAGGCTTCCTTTAGGCATTTCTTAAAGCTTCCTAAAGTTTAATTAATTAGCCTTTTGATTACAGAATTGATTAGTTATTTGTTCGCGATTATATTACCTGTTGAAATATTTACATTCGTTGTTATATTTTCTTCTATTATATTAAATTTATGATTATGTGGTAAGTACGCAAAATTAAATACGCTACTATTAGTTTTGTATTAATTAAATAATAAAAGCGCCAGCTAGAAAATTCTACGGGCGTTACGTAAGTCGTTTACTTGGCGTGTCTATTTCGGAATTTGACAGTGGGGAAATTTTATCGAGAACATAAATTGACGAGGTGTTTATTTTCGTCTACGCCCTTTTCAGTTGCTATTTTAAATGCATTCGGTTCGATATCGACGCGGAAAGTCATCCGAGCAATTCGAATTGGCAAGACCGTCGAAATGGACGAATTAATTGGTATTGCTAATTACGCAATATGGCGGAGGAGAGAGAGGCGGTACGTGCGTGTTTGTTTTGATGAGCGGGCTAGGGTATCTTCCGTTTGGGGTTGTTTAAGGTTTACGATTAAAGGAAAAAGCCTGTTGCGACGGACGTGCGGACGTTCCTTTGGGATTCCGGATTGATGATTTTGCACCTCCGCGCTGTCGATGAGAAACGTAGACATTTGGGAATACCGTTGAGTTTCCATTAGCGGCGATGTTAAAGTAAAAAAATCCGCCGATTGTAGCAATAAATCTCCATTATACGTTACGTTCCTTACAAAAACGTCTTGCGTTACGATGCGGAATTAATTCCGAATTACATAAAGCATAACTATACCTAAAGGTAGGTGGGGTTATAATGTAGGCTACGTTCCGATTCCGAAATTCGTTCGTCGTATATCTTTCGGATCCGCTTCCTGCGTGTATGCGGCCCTTCGTCCGCCCCACAATGGATCCCGTGTCGCAGAGCCCCGTCCTTGCCGTCCTTTAGCGCCGAAGACGAATGTCTTTCCGGCGCGCCACACGAACTGCAATACTCGCGGATCGTCTCGAAGAATGAACATTTTCCATTTCGCGTTATCTTCCTCTGTTTTGGCGCTCTTAGCACTCCATCTTCACGTATCTTATAATAATCAATTCGTGTAAAGCGTTTAAGAAGGTTTCATCTATTCCCGTCGATCGATTGTTAATTATTCGTGAGAATTCCTCTAGGAGAAATCGAATTGATGGTAAAGGGAAAATGCCGGAGCGTCCAGTTGTATTGTGTCTGCCTCGCACGTTTGGATTGTTTGATCTGTTTGTCGGACACGTAGGTAGGTGAGTGAAATGTCGCGATTTTTGGGACACTATGTGGCGTTGTGGCGCAGTCGGTAGGATAAAAGATAAAAATCGTTACCGCTACCGATTTTTTTTTAGATAATCAAAAGGATAAAAATTCATCGACCGCGAGTTATTGTTGTGCGTTCTTTGTTATTTTTAAAATCGGATATTTGAATCGCTCGTTTATGCCGCGTATGTAAAAGCACTTTGTTGCTTTAACGCTAGCGTGAATCGCCCGCCCTTTGCGCACGTCGTTTATTTTTCACTTTCGAAACAGCAATCAAACTAATGAAGTGTTAATTTAACCCGTAAAATATAAACGACGCACCCTCTATTGGCAGCCATGCGTTAACAAATAACTCGTATAAACGCGCCGAACGGCCGTTCACACATCGCTTGTCACCGTGTAAAAATAATAAACAAATCTTGGGTTACCAGGTCAGCTTTATTTTTTTATAACCCTTATTTACACAGGATTTATATGAATAAATATATTGACCGTAGAATTAATGGATGAAAGCTTAAAAAAAACATCGAAAGTTAGATCAAAAAGCACCATCAACTCATCCGGTGTAGACGAAATTCTCCGGCACGGCGCTCCGGACTATTTGTCTTAACGATACAATTCCGAACATCCTTCCTGGATCGCATCCGGTTAAAGAGAGGGACTCGAAAAAGCGTAACGGAACAAACACCCCATTATTAATCATATTAACGTCGCAAGAAACATTTGCAATTCGCATAAAACAGAAGTGGGATCCTCCCGGTAGCAATAGCATTAAGTCATCAACCCCTTTGCCCTACAACAAATCGACATCGACGTTGATCGAACTGGTATCGACGCCTCAAGACGCCCGATGGCCATCTGAGGCATCCCGCCGGCGACGGCGACGGCGACGTTCCGAAGACGAAAGGACCGACGCCTGCGCCGCGGCGCCGCATTTCCATGACACGCACACGTATACACACAAAACCGACGTCGACGGTGTCGGGATGGAACACGGGCAACAGTGTACCTCGGACCGGCGTCCAAAAGCGACGCCAAGACACCGTAGCAGCGTCGTCGTCGCGACGAGAGCATAAGCACAATAGCGGTTTGAGGTAGCGATGTTGTGGTTTTTTTTGCGGGCGATGATGGTTCGGTAAATGGAAATTGTCGCGGTGGTTTGATTGTCGGAAAGGTGGTGGTTTTATTAGATAAATTTTTATTGGTTGAGTTTGAATTCGGTGGTTTAGTGAGAGATATCTTTTAGGTGAGGATGGGAATTTTCGTAACGGAATCGTGAAAAATTTTATTATATTTGTCGAATATAGTGATGTGATTTAGTATTGTGTATTTCGATCAGCTAGATTTGAAAATGAGATTGTCGCTTTAACATGTGTTTATCATATGTAAATTTCTTGCTGTGAAATATAGAAGTACAAAATTTAAAATGTTTTAAATTTAATATTCTAAGATTTATCACCTATTAATTGATATGGAGGAATAGAATTCAATAAAGTAGGATATAGATTTTGTTCACAAATTTTAGAATTTTTAGAAATTTGGTTTAATTTTTTACTTCTATAAAATTAATCTTGTTTCTTTTAAATTCTTCACGACTACTTCGTAATTTCATTTAATAGTTGCTCTAAATTTTTAAGTGGTAAACGAATATGAGCCATAAAGCGAGTGATTTTTAACACTTGTTGCGCGAATGCTACTCTAATACTCCAGTGTTATTTTCAAAATTTATGAAACATTTGGGGTGGAAAAGCTACTTAGTTTCTGTCTTGTTGCCGAATAATTTCGTTAGCAAGCAAGTCTAATCAGTAATATAGAAGCAAAATTTAAGCAAAAAATTTACGGCTTGCGCCTTTTTCATGATATAATTAAATTAGAAAATGAAAAACATCTTATATATTTAGAAAAAGGAGTGAATTAATGATGAATACACGATCAGGTATATGAGACAGGTAAATAGGGTGAAAATTTAAAAATTAACAATAGCTACATCTCATGAATGCGACAAGAAAATATGCTTAGAAAGCGTTACTACGATACAAAAAGGGGAATGAAAATGCCAGACTTTTCTCTAACAAAAACTTCAAATTTCAAACCCCTATTTGTGATGCATCATTCGAAAGCCTTTAAAATTAGATAATTGGCATAAAAATAATTTAAGTGTAATATTCATATTTTTTGATATTTTAGTATGAACTATAGAAACAGTCGTTGTATGTTTTTTTTATTAAGTAAGTAATTAGATAGAAATGAAAATTCCATTTTAATAATCCAATCATAATTAGTCTCTTCTATAAGTAGGTATAACGTAGGTAAACAAGAAAATTTACAGTCGTAATTTATCACCTACATATGTATATGTTTGTTTCAACAGCTTCCACTGTAACTATTTCGAACTTAAACGACTTTTGACACGAACAACACTCCATCATATTCCGAAATTTTTCAATAAACATCGCGAAAAATGTCGTCGACAGTTTTGTTTCTCGATCTGTCGATATAAATCACAATAAATCCGATTCGAATGTTTTGACTAACGAAATATTTATCGCCCGTTTAAAACATCGGAAAAAATATCATCCAAAAATTTCATATTTTCTCGATGCCTCGTCCGAATTACGAAAACAAACTTTTTTCCAAAATTAAACACCAATGGTGGCAGAACTTTTTTTTTAACATCCCGAAAGTTTATTTTCGGGATATTTATGACACCGCTTATTTTTTCTTTTCACGTTTCATTCGCTAGGTGAGAATGCTTCGGGTGTTATAAATTAATTTCCGTGAAAAAAACCGTTCTAATATACCTATTTATAAAGTATACAGTTGCCGCAAGACTTAATGAGAATGTAAGAAATTTTCATTTTCTAATGTCGATTGTTTTTTTTGGTTAAACAATAAACAATAAATTGGTATGAACATAAGATTATTTAGGGTTGTAAATAATTGGCATATTCGTTTACCAAAAGCGTAAGATTGTGTGTGTGTGTGTGTGTGCAATTAATAAAAGGAAAAGTGTTGAATTTCAGTTGAAACTAGACCAGGGCCGTCGTCAGGGAAAATGCGCCGGGGCAACGTCGTCGTTTCTTTAAACAGGTGACTGTGTGTCGTGAATCCGGCCTCGGATCTAATCTATGCGATACCCATCCGCCATGTTCGCGCGATAACAGGTGAAAAATCGTAATCGCTATCTTATCAGTGTCGTATAACCCGTAAGCAGGTGATAATTGTTACACTTTTTTACGTACATTTTTCGGGGGATAAATCAGTCGCGAGAGGGCATTCGAATGAGAATGTTGCATTCAATGGACGCGTTTAGCGAGAAATTGGCTACAGGTGGCGCATTCGGCGATAAATTGGCTACAGGTGGAGCTAGTGTCGTGATTGGTGCTATTAGTCCTAGTCATTCTTCGGTTTTGGATTCCAACGCCAACAGGATGCACCCCTATATGAAGCAAGTCGCTAACGGAAGTACCGCGAAAAGGTAAGATTAATCTACCCGATATATTTTGTGTAACGTACGAGGAGAGAAGCGCATTCGTTCTTAAATTTTTCGAAAATTGATTTACGGCTTTAAATGTTTACAAAACGGAACACCTGATGTTGGTCTGGTGTTCGAATTCCCATTTGCGAGAAAAAAACTTCACCTATAGCGTGCGCGCTAAGTTTAGACGGTGTAATTTAAATTTTTACTGCCGTTATTCAAAACATCCGACCCACGGTTTGTCGTAACGCATTTTTATTGTCCACTCGTTATTCGATTTTCCATACCAAAATCGAGCAGAGCGATGTACCATATACCTTCGATTCCAACTGGCTTATTGATTTAACGATTTCCATACCTACTATTTGTCGATTTTATAAGGCTCTACAGATTCGTTTTATTGGGTTAGTAAACAAGTTAAGGTTGCTTTGTCATTGTATAAAAGCAAAACTAATTGTATTATTAACGCTTATGCAAGTGCTTGATGTATATGTAAGTGTGCGCGCAATAATAATGATCAAATCATTAAAACAAATATTAGGTACTCTTACATAAACGTGACTGCGTAAGTTTATTGTGATATTTAAAAATTATTACTGAAATGTCAATTGTTACTTATCATTCGTCAATTGATCACGTTGTGATTTGTAATTGTAAATTACGCGTTGTCTTCGAATTGGGAAATTAAGAAATGAACCGAAAATCTAAAATTAGGTATCGGGTATAATAATCTTGGCGTTTGGAAGTAATAATATGCCCACTCGGTAGCGGTCACATCGCATCGACTTTTAATAAATTAGAAATCATCGATTCCTTTGATCTCTTCAAGCCATTTTGGCAAGAGGTTTTCTACTAGATCTTATTGAGAGCCATCTGAAAATATAAAACTTGATTTACGGACGTGTGATTTGAAGTCAATGAGGAAGTCGTTTCATTGATAAATTCTTATTAGTAGATATTTTAAATTTTAGTATATGAAGACTCATCTACCAAGTCTATCATTTTTGTGCTATTTTACTCAAAATTCAACATCCATTAGTTTTTTTTCTATTTGATGGAAATTCGAAACGAATGCATTGGAGTTTCTTCGCCAAACTTTTCCAGGCGATCTAGGTTTTCATCTTTTCAAAAAACTTCGCGTCGAAAGAATGAATAGAGATTAGTTTTGCATCTGAATCCTCTCTCTTTTCGCCGGCAAATTCTCTCAAGAGTCAATTATGGAAGTTAATTATTCATAACAAAGAAAACTTTAATTTTCGAAAACCCAGAATGTGAAGTAAAATTTCACAAAGGAAAAAAGACCTCGTAAATATGTCGAAACTACTTAAATAGCACTTAATATACGCGAACCCCAAAGGAAAACTTCACTATAGTTTTGTCACTTTTCCGGACTCCGATAACCCCCAGTGAAAAACGGAAAGTTGCTTTAAGCTGTTAACGTGCTATTTACTTTCGCGGAAAACCATTTTACTAAAGTATGTAAGGGCAATTTCTATACCTGAAGTTACCCAACGACCGATATAATAAAAGAGACTTAGGAAAACGGTCTTACAAACTATTTCCCGCTGATGTTAAACATTTATGGGGATGGAGTTACCGAGGATCCCATGAAGAAAGTAACATAAGAGGATTTTTAAGTTGTGCTATTTTAGTTTGTAAAAGTCTAAAACACTCGAGTTTTGTGTTGTAAAATGCGAAATATCGCAGTACAACAATAATAACACAATTTTTTGACTTTTTATATGTAACAATAGCGTTGTATTTTCATTTATAAGCAGAAATAAGACTTTTACAACTCTATTTTTGTGAAGGTTTCCTCTGATATTTAATAATTTTATGCGTCTATTGCATGCAAAAAATACGAAGTGATCTTATGAATTGATAACTAGCAACTTGTTTGAGGTGGTAAAAATAAATAAAACACAATATAATTGTCTTGGTGAGCGAAAATAGACGCAGCTGTTGCTCTTCGCTCAATTTGTTCGGAGCTATGCGCCTGTACTACTATGCACCGACTCTGCTTACTCATCGATCGTCTTTCAAGCCGATTTTCCTATAGGAAAAACTCCCTAAATTTGGCTCGATTCAACGGAATTTTAACTCACCGATTTTTCCGTTTTAATACTATGTCTCGAAACGATTGCGATGTTAATTAGGCGCGGATTAAAGCGAGTCGAAACATCTCTGGCGCTCGTCATCATAATTTAAAGTAGTTTAAATATAAATTTGAAGCTTCGTGTTTCATTAAATTATTAATTTTGGAAATGCATGTATGAACTGCTGACAGCACTTGGAATCGCGCTCGAAGTTATTGTTTGCTGGTAATTTTAAACCGCGCAATTATGATTCCCATGAAAATTCATAGATTATTGTTCGAGAATAATTAATAAACTTTCCTATCGAGTGAAGAATTTTACCGTCGGACATTATTGCCTATAATGAACGTTGTAATTATACAATTTTTCCAGCATTTATTAATTTAATTATAACCCGAATGGTTTTATTTCCTTTTGCTCACTTATTTCTTTATTAAGTCGAAATTCATTTATCGCCGCTAAAATTTAATGACGCAATAATCATGACGTTAATAGAGCAATTGAGAATCCTATAAATTATGGCCCATAATGTTCTCATAACATAGTATTCTTGTTGCTGTTTTTCCTGTCAGAAAGACGCGGATGGGGATAGGGGGAGTCCCCGATGGGGCAACAACAACACGATATAATGCCGCTCTTTTCGTTCAACTGTGCCACATCACGTTACTCACGAGAGTTCTCTTTTTGCGGATTTTTTGCCGGCCGCGGGCGAAATCCGAACCAGACGTTTTCCATGTGGAAAGAGTGATTAACCCTTGAACAAGATTTAGGCTCGTCATCGCGAACCCGTGCTGGTTTTTGTCGCGAAAAGTCAACGGTGTTTCGAGTTTTTGCCTCGACGCCAGTCGTAATTCTTTCGCCGAACGTTTTGGATTTCTGACGTTTTTCCCGATGGAAAAAGCGACACGAACGGGAAAAATAACAGAACGTTTGTTTTTGTCGCTCCGGCGCGTAATGGCCGGGCTTGCGACAAGAGGGTTTCATCGAATTTTTGCCTCTTTATTAACGATAAATTGGTTTTATTAAATGCAATTGTATTGCACTCATTTTCAAAATTGAACTCAAAGTCGGATTGTTTTATGCGGCGTATTCCATAATACATGCTAATATTTAAGGGGGTAAATATTGGCTTTGAATACGCTTTTTTGGAACACCCATTTGGGAACACCCTGTATATTTAGAATAAAATAATACCGAGCACATTCGGGAATACATACGCGTATTTTTGCGGTCTGAAAAAAGAAAAACACAACCTACAAGAGTAAAAAAAAACATTTTCGAGAATGGGACTGCAAAAGTTGCGGATCGACGAAATCCCGGGGTTTTATGGGGGATTTCGCGTTTTTTGTTTTATCGCGAGTACAGGGGAGCATTGAAAAAACATCTTAGCCGAAGAGGAGCCGGCCTGGAATGGCTTCCATCGAAATCCCCTATTCGGGGACGTTTTATAGGATATCGGTCAACTGCCAAAAATTCCACTATACACCCTCAACTTTTTATTGCTCGTATTGTTTATTTTATTTAAGTAATAAATCGGGTTTAGGGGGATGTGTTTTCAATAATGTAGCATCGATTTTCCGTGATATTTGATAACGCGAGGACAATATACAAACTTGTACCGGTACATCTTCGTTTTTTTTTCTGGCGTTGTCGCATGCAATCCGGTGTATACCCGAATATTTTTGTGCATAGCACGCCCACGCAATTCGCCTTTCTTTTTATTGCCCCGCTACAACCGAGACGTCACATCCTTCTCCCGTTCCAATTTTCCGACTACCCGCTGATCTCATAAATTTAATCCCGCCTTATCCGAGAACAAACACAGAAGGCCGCGGCGATAATACGACACACTTATGCACCCCATTGCGAGACGTATAAATATGACAAAAGTTTCTTCGTCGCGCGAAGGGCGGCAGAGGGAATGTAGATTTTCGGATTTGCCCCGAAGGGATCGTCGACTTGCCGCCCTCGCCCTCTCGGCCGTTCGGATGGCTTGTTTGTTTCCCGAAGTTGCGAAAAATCGAGGAAATTCGTAATTAATTTTTGTTCCACCGTCATCTGCATTATATACAAAAATTAAGATATCTACGGTAAAATACGTTGCTATAATAGAATTGAGGTTATCAAAATATTCATAAATCCTATAAATTGAGCTTTATGGAATAGTATAGACTATAGGTTATTATAAGAGCGCTTTATTGCTTTATGAAAATCTGATTTATTATTGTGTTTTTAAATGTACGAGTCTCATTATCATAATGAATTCGAGAGCGTACCTACGAGCAATCTCGAAATTAAGTTCTTTGGTTAATTCATAAATAAACATTAAGCAATCCGTTTGTGAACATCAAACGCCTAGAGACTTTTCATATAAAGTAGGTATGCGGTCGCGCGATAAAAATATTCTCTCGTTTGGATACACTATTTACGTCACGATCCGTTATTTCCAGATAATTTTGTTTATTTTAGCTGATAAAATGCAGGTACACGTTAGAACCAGATGCGTGAATTACAATCCCGTTTCGAGAGCTTATTTTTAGTGTGACTGAGTGTCTCTCGATATTCATTCTGTTGGTTCGACCAAGAAAATAGGCGGATTTAGAAATAGACGCGCGACTGTTGGAATTTATCCACCGGGATTAACCGAGAACTATTTTTTTTGTTCATTCTACTGCCTTAGATTCTACCATACATTCAACTCGATCTCTCCTATAGAAACATATCTCAAGTATACCTATTATTTAAATTATAATTACCTTATATTTATTTCACCCTCAACGTTGAAATCCGCGGAATAACACACCCTTCCCTCTTTTTCTTTGAATTTAAATTTCCACCATCCCTTATCGGCTCTCCATCGATTCGTATTAAATTATCGAAATAAGCCGTGCAGAAGCGAATTCT